AAGAATAACTATTTTTGGAAGGTCTGCCGTACATTTATAGTTTTAGAGAGGATCTGGCTATGGCAATGGCAACGGCACGTTTGCGAAATCTCCCTTTTGACTCGTTTGGCAAACACACCTCGGTACGGTCGAATCCATCCGTGGCCAGCGTGTACGTCGTCGGTGGATCAGCCAGAGACCGCAGCTGGATCAAGCATGCATTGGCCGGAAATGCTGACCATCGCAAGCCCTTTGGATGACGTGTATGACGTGAACGTGCTCGTGAAAAAGAAGAATTGCACATTTTCACCATGATATCCATGGCTGATCGTCTCCACCTCAGCAAGGGGTTCGACCTGGGAATGCCATTGTGTGGGTCAACCGTGGGTCGGATTTTTTCAACAAGTATATGTCAGTGGTAGTATTTATTTATTGCGCGGAAACTCGAAATTAGGCCGCTGTGGATATGAGGTAGTTCTACAATCAACAGCCAATATGAATCGAGGAATCTTGAATAATGCGCTTTGATTGGATGAATTGCCTTCTCCCCCCCGAAACAAGGACAGTACATTTACATTGCGCGCGAGATTCAGTGCCATGGAAGTTGGCGCAAGGGCGGCGATCAAGGCGACAAAGGTAATCGATGGAGGAGAAGCGACGCTTGAGCATGAGAGCCTGCGCGTTGGTGAGATCATCGCCTACTACACTACGTTATTCGTTGCTGGAGATCCACGAGGCAAGCGCGAGTCGAAAGGTATCGCATTTTCAGTGCAACAACTTGGTCAAGTGCCGACATGAAATAGTCATTCGCATTCGAAGTGATGTCAAGAACGACTACCCCATTCATTTGGAGAGCCAAGACTCGTACGACCTTGTCGTGAAATTGCCCGAAAGCGAATGCAGCATCATGGTTGATTCGATGTAGGATCTCCAAGCACGATATGGTTAAGCGCGTAAAAGATGCACAAGGCAACACGATTCACGATGGCATGTGGCGAAAAGTCTACACGTACGAGTTGATGCCAGGCAAGATTCGTGGTGAACTGGCCAGTGCGGTGCTCAAAGCCGCCATGAAGAACGTACGGATGGATAAATGTGTTGAAGTATGTCTCAACCTGGTGATCCAGGTCGTTCGTGATTCGTTTGCAAAAGTCTACGGAAGCAAAAATTCCACGTCCAAAAAGAGGCGGCGGGAAGACGGTACTGACGAAGTGAGGTCTCAATACACACCCAAACGACCTGCCGGAGCTGCCAAGTCCACCAAGCCAATGTCCATTTCCATCAGCAAATTCTTCTTACGTAAAACCGCTTCTGCTCCAGCCCCTACTCAACAAGAGGAGTCCAAGGCTAGCAATGCTTCCATCGCCCAGAAAGGCAACACCACTGCATCTGCCACGGAGGGTCAGAGGTGCTTTGTTGCAACTTGTGGAACTACTCCTCAAGGAGTCAAGGCACGAGTCACCAGCGACAGTCCGCCGCGACGACAGAACTACAGTAAACGTGATCTGTCCAAGAGCGGGCAATTGTCATTGAAGCCCTGCTCAGAAACGATGGAATCGTCGGCCTCGGTTATGTTACCCCACAACAGGTTATTCCGCCGCATGGAGCCATCTCCATGTGCCTCAAATGCTAAAGCAGTACGAAGACTACAATCGAACCAATTCCACTTACACTTTGCAATAGTTTGAACCCCTATCGACGGACGTGTTAGCTTCACGAGGAAAAAGTGCTCCCCATGCACCTGGAGCTCGTACTTTGTCTCTGTCCCCCACCAAGGCTAAAGACACATATTCATCACCATCGCCCCCGACTTCAGCGCCATCTCGCAACTCCTGTCCAAATTCTAATCAACGGAAACCGTTGACACCCACAACCCCTCCCTCTATCTCGGCACGTGGCTTGAAAGGGTCTACGGGAAAGTCGAAAATTCACGAAGACACCTTCATGTCTCCAGCTTCCTCTGCATGCTCCTCGTCGAAGGCGTCCAAGCACGGGTCTCATTCCTCATCGTTCGTGCCTTCATGTCCCTCGAGCGCATCAAAAAAATTGCAGCACTCAAATGCAAATGGCACGACTCGATCATTGTCTGGTGTACTTGGTACAGCATCTTTGCGTCGTCGCCGTCCTTCGCCACAAATCTCAAAAGACATTGCCACGTCCATCCCTTCGCCAACTCCTTCGTCTACGACGGATATCGCACTCAAGGCGCTCGCAGAGACCGCTGCTTTCTCGGTCAAATTTAAACGCGTCGACGACAGCTGCGACAAATATCAAGTGCAAAACATCGATGACTTGTCTACTGGCAAAGCGAGTGGTGGGTGGTCCCATGCACCTCCACAGAATCAGAGCCGGGTGACCACAACGCCCCCGTCTGACAACAAAATGTCTAAGAGGTTGGCAGCGTTCGGCAACCCAGCGCCGCGCGATGACGATGATATCACGCCACGCAAGAAACTTTGGCGCCAGGAACTCCGGACGTTCCGTGAAAAGCCCAACCCCTCCCGACGGCCCATGTCGTCTACAACACCGACGCCGACCCTACAACAAACCCCGATGGACGCATGGCTCATCCCTAGGAAGCGCAAGCCTGCAACTTCATCAACATCACATCGTGAGAATCCGAGCATGAAGCAATTGTAACTCGTTAGAGTAACTAATCCGACGACCCCAGCCGGAACAACAACAGCTTGGTCTCACGGTTCGCTGCCTTGACTGTATTCGCTTGGGTCTTCATGGCCACCAATTGAGTCCCCACCTTCAACGGCATCGCCAGTGGTTGTCCAAGTGCCACGCCCACCGCCCGCGTCTGTTCCATGTTGGCGCAGTCCTTGCTGCGCTTTGGCTCGATGCCAGATTCAGTCGAAGGGCGGGCTCACCCGACGTGATCACAACGACGTAGTTACCCGTGCGGGAAATTCGAAGCTCCCCAGACATCACGTTCAAATCCACGGCCGGGTCGTCCCAACCCTGGGAATTCCACCGCATGCGACGATCGAATGTGGCATCATACGAGGCGATGAGAGTGAGCACGAGGTTGGCATCAGACGGCACATCGCTGGGGATGGTGTAATTGGTGTTGCGACTCATGGTCGATTCAGGAATGGGTCGTTGAGACGGAAGAGCAAACCAAACAGACGAGATTCACACGGTGTGCGACGAGGTGCGCAGAACAGAACCCTGTTGCGGGCAGCGATGCCTTCGCGAGCGGCGAGCGTCGAGCCATTGTTGGTGCATGTCTACTGCGATGTAGATGTACATGCTGACGCACGCATCACGACCTCTCGCACAAAGTTCCAACAATGGTGCAACGTCGATATTTCAAAGCGCAGTTCATGCCAACTCAGCGTCACAAGAACCCCCGTACGATCGTCTCGAAGACCAGCATGTGCATGGGAAACCCGAAGAGAAGAAGCGGCGTCCGCAGAGGCGGACGAAGATGCTCGCTGCTGCGGTGTCCATCATGTCAACACCATTTCACATTGGGTCACTTTACAGTATGTCGCCAAAAGTATACTTGAAATTTGTATGAAATTTATAGTAACATCCGATTGGTCGAAATTGGACTGAATTCTTGCCCAGTTTCTTCCCGTACATGCCGTGCGCGGGACCGCGCAAGCGTGTCCTCCAGCCTGCGAAACTTCCTGGCGGCACGGAACCCACACAATCGGCACCGTCACCGATATACGTCGACATGCACGCTTCCCTCGGAGTACCGCCAGCGCAGACGTCCTCCTCGCCAAGACCTCAATCTCGTGCGTTGTCTGTCGCCTCCACATGGTGTCTCCTTTTTCCTTTTACTCCCACCAATAAACTGCGCGAGCTGGTTCTCCAGGCCGATGAAGACGATGGAGACGCGTGTGATACAAACAACAGCTCGCCAAGTTATATCATGCGACAGCTGCACGATCAACTGGTCCAACCGAATCGTACCGACGGTGCATTGCGATCGGGGGGTGTCATATCCCTCTGGAATCGGTCCCATGTCGGCTTGGTGATCAGTTCTGTCTTGGCAGGGTTTATGCTCGGCGCGCTCCCGTCAACCATCGTATCCTTGAAGGTCCAAGCTCGGGTTGCCACGACGGCACAGCTCCTTGGCCCTGCGTTTTCGCCAATTTACGGCCTCTCGTCGCCAGTGATGTTCTTCCCTGCGTCTCTTCGCTTTTCATTTGGTCTAGTGAGCGACATCTTTCCCATCTACGGGTCCCACCGAATGCCGTACATGTTGATGGGATGGGCCGCGTCATTTGTCAGTTTTCTCATCGGCGGCCTCCTCCTGTCAACCTCCGTCATCCAAGAGCCTTCGCTCCTGCTCATGCTGATTGCATGTTCAGGCGTCACGATGGCCGACGTGGCTGGCGACGGTCTCCTGGTTGAACTGGCCCAGCGGGAGCCAGTCGCGTTTCGTGGCAGGACACAAGGTATTGTCCTGGCATTCAAGTTTCTTGGCGTGGCGCTGTCCCAAGCATACATCGCCGTCCTTGAAGGGTCTTTATTCACGCAGTGGACTCCCTCGGATCCCAACTACCTCGGCTTGATCTATAGTCTTGCCATGCTGTCGGTCGTGCCCACTCCGTTCGTGTATTTTCTTGCGACGAGTCGACATCCGCCAGGCGCATTGCCCACTTCCCTCACGACGTCCTCACCGCGCGCTTCGTTCCTCGACAATGTGATCGCTCTCTGGACCTGCCTTCAATCGAAAGCGATCGCGGCGTACTTGCTCTTCTCGTTTCTGTTTTCTCTCGCGATCCACGTTGGAAACGGCGGCACGTCCGTCTTTAAGCGCGAGGTCCTCGACGTGTGGATCGAGCGGTCATGGCTGCACCATGGCGACGCGAACGTAGCCCCTCGACAAAGCCTGTTTGTCGTTGGTGCTGGCGCTGTTGTGTTTGGACTCGCCATGGTGGCCGTGACCAAGCGGCGATGGAAAGCGGCACTGGCGTGGTCGACCATAGCCATCGGGGTGGTTGGCAGCCTCCATGCATCGTGCACAGTGTACGGGACATCTCGTGTGTCGTGGTTCTGGTACGGAACGCTGCTGGTGCTGCAGGTCCCCCACGGCATCCGCCACATTGTAAGCCTCTTGCCCGTCGTGGAGTACGCCCCGGTCGGATTCGAAGCCACGATGTCGAGTCTCGCGATGTCGGTTCAACTAGTAGCCGTTCCCATCGTGACCGCTGTGTACAGCACCACCCTGCAGGACACGTTGGTGAACGTGCTCGAAGCCGACACGGCATCGATCACGCCGTCGGTGCAAACTCAAGTTGGCGACTTGATGGCTCTTGGTCCGTTGGCTAGTTTTGGTGTGTTTGTCAGTCTCATTTGGCTACCCAATTCACCCGTGGAAGCTCAAGTTTGGCGATGGGGTGGTGGTCAAAGTCGTGCCGCCGGGTGGAGCGTCGTGGCGCTGTGGTGGGCTGGCTGCACCTTGCTCCTCGTCACTAGCACCCTCACTATGTACTCTAGCTGGTCCTGTGGAGTCGTCCTCGGGGGAATCGGGTGTTCTGGAGCCATCGTTCCTGGACCTAGCTAGTGCGAATTAATTTAATCGGATTTGCTGATCAATTCGCGTCCCCTTCGATCCTAGTGGCACGCATGCACCTTGCCACACCCCGTTCCTCGTTCATTCACACGTCAAGAATCCCAGCTATCAGCGATCGTTTATGAAACAGAACAGCACGTGTGGAATGTGGGCCATGCTTTCGGACGGTGCTACTTGTTCTTGCGGACGGCAATGTTGCGCGCTCGGCGTTCCTTGTCGGATTTGTCGTCGGCAGCCTTTTCCTTCTGGAGACTCTTGAACACGGCCTCTCCGTCGATCGAGTTGTTGTTGCAGAGCTGAATCAACCGAGGCAGTGCCAACCGCAGCAGCTGCTTGCCATCGATCGCCTTGATGTTACCAGTGTACTTGGCGTACAGACCCTTTTTCAACCCCGACCACCACTTCACGACATCGTCTGGGGCCCAGTCCTTGATGGCCTGGCACGACATACAACCCGTTGTCATGGCTGGCAAGGCTGGGTCCGAGTACCTTGGCCTTGGCCTCTTCCACGGCGGATGCCACCTCGACCCGCTCCTTGCGAACTGGACCATTGTCGTCGGAGAGCATCATAGCTGCATATTGCAGCGTGTGCAGCGTATGCTCCGTGTCTGCAGTGTGCCATCATGTCCGTGAGCCACCGCGTATTCAGGTCTCCAAGCGAATGCACACATGTCGTAAAGAGAGCATGAAGTGGTGTTGTTGTACCCACCTGTCGCGATCGGGGACACGGTGGCAATCACGGCAGCGCGCGATCCGTTGGCCCACAGCGACTCTTTCAGCAGCCGCGTCAAGATGGAGTGTCGGTACGGGACGACTGCGGTCGGGTCCTCGGCACCCAATGCCCGCACGCACTGCTTGAGTGCGAGATGGCTCGAGTTGATCTCGATCGTTTCCCGCCGCCGGTCCGCCGAATGATGAAACGAGTCTTCATTGCGTTCGCTTCCCGCCAGATCGAGCAACGTGAGCACGCCCGGTGGTCGGCATGGCGTCGTCGCGGATGGTTTCGACCGACTGGCACCGGGTTTGGCCGTGTCTTGAATCGAAATCGAGCAAAGGAAATGCGATCGCGACGACACTGCATTCACTGATGTCTAGTGTCGCCCACAGTGAGAACGAATCGATAGTGTCGACAGGACGTACGGCTTCCGTGGCGCGCATGTCGAGTGCTTCGTGGATGATCGCCAAGAGCGCGGGCGCAGACGTGGCCTCGCGCTCCGTCACGTTCAAGAGTCGACTGTTTCCTGCTTCATCGTCACACACGAGGACCTTTTGTCGCCGGCGGAGGAGGTCTACGATCGGCATCCAACCACTTCATGCGGGCATTCGCGAGTTCGTTTGGACAACAATGCCATACCCATGCACTTGGTGCCGGCAATTTCGACAGCGGTCACGACAACGCTATCGCCACCGCCGTTGTTCCGAAACAGCATGTCCGCAATGTTCTAGTGGCGCTGTGCGTCATGGATGCACTGGGTCATCTCGCCACCACGTACGTCATGCAACCCGGACATTGTGTGCGTCTTGCCAGAGCCCGTTTGCCCATACCTGCAATCCGCCCAAATCGATATGCATCCGAAACTGGGTGGTTCGCGTACATCATAATGACGGACTTGCCACCGGCAATGGCGTGGTCGACAAGCGGCTTGCCCACTTCATCGAATACATCGTCGGTCGACGCAGTTTCGCCAAAGCACTTGGAGAATTTGTGGACATGGTTCTCGATAAACTTTCGTTTCATGTCTGCAAGTGGGCTGCATGAAGGATTGTTCGGCGCGACCGGCAGAGACGGACCTGCATACATTTGGCAGTCGTGAACAATGATCGTGTCGCTGCCGGCGCACGTGACGACGTCGTACTCCTTCTTCTTGGGTTCGTGCGGGAGCATCGGGCGTTTGCGAATGTAGACTTGGATGCCGCTTGGGTTGGACGACTCGGGCGTGCCGTCCACGTCTTGGTTCTTGGTGTGGTGATGGGTCCACTGCCGTCGCAACTGCGTGATCACGGTGCGGAAGTCCAGTCCATGGACCTTCCGGGCCGTGCTGCCAGACACAAGTTAAGTAACGAGGTGCTGGGATGCACGTGTTGTACCGCTTGTCCATCATGTCACCCTTGTCGCGCCATTGCTTCTCAGGCACCATGGCTTGCTGCGGCGATGTTGTGCGACGCAAATTGCTAAAATCGACCCGACCGTACGAAAACTAAAGATAAACTCGCCGCCATCTTGGCGTTTCCATCGCATGACCTCGCACATTCACAACAGACGTCCGCTTCACAAATATTTGAATTCCTGCTCAATATATCAAATATTTACGAAAAACTGGTAGAATTCTCGAAAAAGGGAAAGTCTGAACAAATATTGAGAGACAACGAAAAAGGTTCATATTATGGAAATATTGATGTTTTGCGCGCATCGGAATGGTCAAAATATGTAATACAGTAGGCAAGTACGTCCTCTGTGGCGTTTATCCGGATTTTTGAATTGGCGGGAGTGAATTATCCGGATCAGGATTGCCTCAGAGGACAACCATGGTTGGCAAGTCGTCGCCTCCTTCGAGCCCGCCTCGTGAGACAGAGGATGAACCCAGCACGATGGCCCTCCCAGATACCCCCCCATCTAGTCCATTGGTCTCTGACGTAGGCGCCAGCACCCAAGTACTCTCGTCACCACCGGTAACTAGCCCATCACGTCCTGTCCTGGCTCGAGCTCCGGCCACACCACCTTCCAGTCCTGAATCTGCTCCTACTGCATCCACCGAAGCACAAATCAACAACATTAGGCTCCCATCGTCACTGCCTTCTACCCCATTGCGACCTGCTTTAGCTGTTCCTGACACCCCTCCATCCAGTCCCCTGTCGCCTAGTGGTTCGACTCAACAACAGGCGGCCATCTTGCGCGACGCTCCAGCCACGCCACCATCGCCTTCATCATTTTCCCAACCGTCCGTGTCGATATCTGCCACGGCGGACCTTCACTACACTCACCAGGACTACTCGGCGTCCATCGATGCGACACCAATGCCACGATACCTCGGGCGATATGCCGAAGGCGACATCAACGTTGGGTTGAATCGAGCACTCCCTCGCGGCGACTTAGGTCGGTCTCAAGTTCGTCTGGATGTGCCACTGCCACAGCAGGCGTCGGCAGCTTTGAATCCCGACAGCCCGCCATCGTCTCCCATGTCGGATGGGCATCGTCAGTTTCCCGCGGCCCCGGCATCTCCCGGATCCGCCAGTCTCAGCCTTCGTCCCAATGACGTCGACTTGGCTCCACCTATGGCCGAACAGTCGTACTCGAACGCTGTTGTGTGGGGGACGAATGTAAACGTCGCCGAGAGCATGCGAGTCTTCCGCGTGTTTCTTCAAAATTTTGTGCCACGGGAGCTTGACGGCTCGGATGAAAGTTACTACCGCAAAGTACTTCGGCAAATCCACCTGACTCAGGAAGGCGTATTCAACCTGGACTGCCAGCACTTGCTCCAGTCGACGGACGAGACTAAGGTGTTGTACACGCAGCTGCTGCATTTTCCCCAAGTGCTCGTCCGGATTCTCGACATGGTCGTGCAGGACGCTTACAAGGCGATGTTTTCCGACGACCCGGATGCGGTATGGCTGTGCATGGCTGTATTCTCGGACGTTTGTTGGAGTAAAGCTCACGTGGCGACCTTTCTCTTGATGCCTTGCTAGACACGGATTCAAGTGCGGCCGTTCAATTTGAAGGAGGTTCAAGCGATGCGCAACCTGAACCCGAGCGACATCGATCAACTTGTGTCGCTGCAAGGCATGGTCACGCGGTGTTCCGCTGTGATTCCGGACCTGAAGATGGCATTCTTTCGATGCACAACGTGCCACGCGGACGTCGAGGTCGAGCTGGACCGCGGCCGCATTGACGAGCCATCCGTAGGTGAATTTTTTTCGTGACAGTGTGTTTGGGGGATGCATGCGGCATGGCTTGATGGATTTTTCGCCGCGATGGACGACTGACACGGTGCATGCACAGAGTTGTCGCCACTGCCAGTCGAGGAACTCGATGGAGATCGTACACAATCGATGCGCATTCACAGACAAGCAGTTGGTCAAAATGCAGGAAACTCCCGATGCGATCCCGGAAGGCGAGACGCCGTACACGGTGCGTGATTCGCGTGTAGGCGGCGTGCCGACGGCCCGCTGTGCGAATTCGTTTCCATCGAATGACCCAGGTGCAACCACTAGGTGATGCTGTTTTGCTTTGACGACCTCGTCGACGATGTGCGGCCGGGAGACAAAGTTCAAGTCACGGGCATCTACCGCGCCGTCCCGCTCCGTGCCACCGTCAAACAACGCGTGGTCAAGTCCGTCTTCAAGACGTACGTGGATGTCGTGCATTTCCGCAAAGTCGACGAGTTGTACAACCAAGGCGGCGGATTTCGAGATGCCAATGCCGTGGACGCCATCACAAACGCCAAACTCGGTGCGAAACAGCGCTTGCTCATGCGTGGTTGACAGGAATCCCTTGCGATCGTTTTAGACGAGTTTCGTCGAATTGCTGCTGACCCGCTCGTGTACGAGAATCTGTCGCATTCACTGGCGCCGTCTATTTGGGAACTTGACGACGTGAAGAAGGGTACGTATTCGTCGATAATGTGCCCGCCGTCCCGTCGGCGATTACGAAAAGTGGCGCCACTGCTTCACGTGGGTGCATCGTAGGCGTGCTGTGCCAATTGTTTGGCGGTGCAAGGAAGGGAGAGTCTGGCCCGGATAAAAAGCACACGCGGTCGGATCTGAATGTTCTCCTTTGCGGCGACCCAGGGACGTCCAAGTCCCAGCTGCTCTCGTACGTGCACAAGTTGGCGCCGCGCGGAATCTACACGAGTGGCAAGGGCAGCTCGGCCGTTGGGTTGACGGCATCTGTGGTTCGGGATATGGAGACTGGAGACTTTGTGCTCGAGTCTGGGGCGCTCGTTCTCTCGGACGAAGGCATTTGCTGCATCGACGAGTTTGACAAAATGTCAGACTCGGCGCGCAGTGTTCTCCACGAAGTCATGGAGCAGCAGACCGTGTCGATAGCCAAGGCTGGCATCATTTGCTCGTTGAATGCCCGCGCGTCGATTCTGGCGTCGGCCAACCCAATCGAGTCGCGGTACAACCCGGCCAAAAGCGTGATCGAAAACATAAATATTCTGCCGACCTTGCTCAGCCGGTACGAACGACTCGATGTCTCGCCCTTGGGACCGTGCTCCATGTGGGTCGGGGACTCGTCGATCGATTTGCGTGGGTGGGTTGCCATGCCAGGCTCGAATCGAGCTCTGTGAGCATCTGGATGGACATTGTCGCCTCAGAATGCCACGCGGATGCACGACGTGTGGGGCTGATCGCCTGCCCTGCTACGTGGTAGACCGTCCCACTCGACGTGACACTTGGCGCCGTTTGTACATCGATTGTCGTGCTCTTTGACGGATTGCCCTTGCTCGACGCCTGCGCCTGACTCGACTGTGTAGGTTTGATTTGATATACCTCATTCTCGATCGGCCAAATGCCGACGCGGACCGGCAGCTTGCCCGACATATTGTCAGCATGTACTACGACGGGTACACGGTCAGCGCGACGACACGAACGTCCGAAGTGATTAAGATGTCGGTCCTGTCCGAGTACATTGCGTACGCGAAGAAGCACATCCATCCCAAGCTGACGGAGGCGGCGGCCGCGGACTTGGTCGCGGGGTACTTGGGGCTGCGACGCATGGGCAACAACCGCAAGAATATCACAGCAACCCCTCGCCAGTTGGAATCGCTCATTCGGATCGCTGAAGCGCTGGCCAAGATGAAGCTGAGCGCGACGGGTACATGTGCAATACGTCAAGTAAATGGCACTGAGAAGGAGTACGTGCATTAGTGACGTCCAAGGAAGTCGCGGAAGCGCTTCGATTGATGCATGTCGCGACGCAAAAAGCCGCGATGGATCCGCGCACGGGCACAATCGACATGGACATGATCACAACGGGTCTGTCGACGTTAGATCGACAAACGCTGCAGACCATGGTGGCCGACCTAAAACAGATTCTCGATGCCGAAGGGTCGATGAGTTTGGGCGATGCCAAGCGCAAGTTGGACGAAGCGCGGGGTACAGAGACCAAGCCAACGGACTTTCAATCGGCGATTCGACTCTTGGAAGAGGACAGCGTCGTTCAGATCACACACGGTACGCTGAGGTACATGGCCGACCATCGCGGCGCGTAGCTTCCTATCCAACCCTCGATAACTGTGACCAAGTGCAGATTTGAATCTTCGTGTGATGGCGCACGCGACGATGGCAAGTCGTGCGATCGGCTGTGACAGTCTGACTTCATGACGAGGATGTAGCCACATGTTCACATTGGATCAAGTGTGTGGAATGTTCCTCGTCTTGACCGCATTGCGCGCCGACGCCTTGTCGGCCACCCACAACAATTCGGGCATCACACACTCGATAACAACATGCACTCAGCCGAAATGTGCTCGACAGCCAGACTTGGAACGCGGAACTTGGCGACGGAAACCTTGCTACGTGCATCGCCCGCATTCGCTGTGGAAGGAAACCTAAACGATAGTCCATGGCGAGGTGTGCGGAAAGTGGTGGCACACGCTTGGTCGCCGTACAGCCAAACGACTTCCAGTCGTTTTCTTCACTCAGCGCCAGCGGTGGCGGTGATGGGGGCAGCGGCACTGCATGGTGAGGTCGTGGACGCATTGTCACCTTCCATCACGCATCCGAAAGAATTGCACATTTTGAACAATAGCAATAT